AAATCACGACCAATCTAACGGTCAATTTACTTTCATCATTCGATTCTCTGATTGACGGCAAATTACCTTCAAAGTCCTACAAACCATCAAACTGCAAACTCTTTTCATTGGCATTTTATCGAAGATCAGACCGTTGGATCATTTTAACATTAACTTTCTAAGATTATTATTTTATCAGATTTCAAATGATATCTTTCGAGATATATAAAATATTGAACGTCTTGGTAATAACCAGTAATTCGATATTGAAGTTCTAATTTATCGACAACACGCAGATTCGCTGCAAAAACTCGATAACCAATTTTCAACTAACTTGTTCAAAACTAACGAAAAAAACTCTCCATTTGTTCGTATTATCTATGCATAAAATCAATTCCATTTATTTAGATGTTGTGTTGGTAGTAAACTAGAATTTCCTTTTTTTTTTTTTTTCNAAATGTTACTATACAAAACTGAAAATTAAAATGATTCTTGAGGCACTGTAAATTTGCAACTGACAAAAAAAATTAAAAAAAAAATATTAAATTAAGAAATGCACCTTTTCAATTGACACACTATTTGCGTGTGACAATTGCTTGTGTATTGTGGTAATGTGGTCACATTTGAATATGGACCACTAGCAATTGGATAGTTGATTTTACACTCCATATATGAAAAGGAAAAGAAAATAAAAAATCCTGTTACACTAACATAAATATCCAAGTATACTTCACAATAATTCTCATTTAATTAAATGATTTCACTATTTTACATATCAGAACACTATTTTATTTAACAACTATATATGATATAGTAACAACATTTATGTCAAAGTTAATGTCACATTTTTATATTACAATAGCATTTTCCTATATGAAAATAATATTATCCTAGGGCATATAGCTCCGAACCAAATTCATTGAACTTAGGTCAGCTTTTATAATTGGATAGGGATAATTTCATTCTCAAATGGGTATGACGTGAGATGATACATACATAAAATGCAACCATCTAACATGGACACATTGTAACAAAATAAAAATTAAATTGAAGAAAAAAATACTAATAGCAAAAGTTGTTGCAAGTAAAACAATAGTCATAAATAAATTTACAAACTGAATTTAGTCATGAAGAGTTTTAATCGGGTTAAAATTTCAACTAATCACGTACTCACTAAAGAGTGGCGAATATTATTGTAAATACAAATTCTTGTATAAAATAACTATAAACGGATTGACCCATTATATTTTTTTTAACAGAAATCATATTTTTATTTAGGTTTACTTTTTAAATAAATATAACAATTTGATTTGAAAATATATCTATTAATTGAAATAGTATGATTGTCTAACCATTATACTTAATGTGTTCTATTGGATTTTTCTTATCACTTTCAATAAAATTCTCTGTTATACAGGGTTAAATAAATCATTATGATATTTCTTTGTCTTTGAAGTTATTATTTAAACCTTACGCAAATGTCCTATTTGGGACAATTCAAACACCTGACATTGAATTTGTACCATTTAGTACACATTCAAGCTTGGTCATGAAGTAGAGATTCAGACATCATACATTACATTATCATAATGCTTTCTANNNTATTTTGAACTCATGAATTTGTAAATTGCAGGAAAAAAAAAAAGAAAAAAAAACATTTATACATCTCCTCTTGAACACGCATTATGGTAACCTATAAACACGTTAGGATAGAGATGTAAACGGGCCAAATCTAGCTTGAATATTGACTTAGTTCATTAACTAAATGAGTCAGATATACATATTTGAACCTTAACAAGCTAAACTATCTAAGTTAAAAATTCAAATATTAGATAAAAAAAAATACCTATTCATTCTTGAGCCTAACTAGCCGAGATTGCTCGGCAGTTGTACCTTAACAAGTTAAACTATCAATGAGTTTTAACAAACTCACTCGTCAATTAAACAAATATTAAACCAATCAAACAAAATTCACAAGTAACTCGTTTCATTAAAAGTTCTACAAATATATTTGTCATTTTAACATAAGAGCAACTCCAACGGAGTTGCAAACCCAAACCCAACAGCAGAAAATTGCTCCAACCGGTGCGCAAACGGAAACGCAAAATGCGTTTTGGACACTTTCTCTCTCCTCCCAGACGCAAATATGTGTTTGTACTGTTGATAAACGCAAAAAACTTTTGTGAATTGATTTGGCCCCAAAAAGTGATGTAAATTGTCTTTTGCCCCATTTTATTATGATTTTTAAAGTAATGAATAGTTGTTAGGTTTTAGTTTATTTATCAACATTTATATAATATATATTACATTTATTGTTTTTAATAATTTAGTTTACATGCCATAATATTTATATATTTAATGTATAACATTAAAACAATTGCACAAGTAATAAAAATCATTCACAAATTATGCCATGTAAATATTTTTTTTTTCAAGTTATATGACTTTAGTTTTTGTTGTTATATAGTATAATTTTATTTTTTAATCTTATTATAACTTTATTTGTTAATCTTATTATTTATTTAATATAAGCGTGTAAAAATTAGATATATATATATATATATATATTATTTTGTAGCTATAAAGGTGTTATTATTGATTTGAATGAGCAAAATATATATTATTTGTTGGCTATGTAAAATATAATAAAAAGCTATTTTATGAAATATATTTGTTCTCTAATTTATATTTATACGTGTTTTCATATTACTTGATTGTTGTAATTTTTAATTTCTCATCTTGTGTGTTGTAGTTTTTAATTTTATCTTGTGTGTTGTAATTTTTAATTTATCATCTTGTGCGTTGTAATTTTTAATATTATATTGTGTGTTGTAATTTTTAAATTTTAATTTTCAATGACTATTTATTTCTCAGATTTTATTATGTATATGATTATTACTTTATATTTAATTTATTACATAAAGTACAAATTGAATTGAAAATAATAGTCTGGTTTAATTTGTAAAGTTGTAAAATATGTGGGTAGTATTAAAAAGTTGTAAAAGTTAATGTAAACTGAATACCAAAAATAATAAGTTTTTCGGTTAAAGATGAATTACTGCAAAATAAGATAAGTACTGCAAAATGAGTTTGAGTATGGGGTATTCGGTTGGAGATGGCCTAAACAGTGTCTGCTTGGCCTAAAAGATAAATATAAAAATTATTGTCACGTTTATATATCGAAAATAATTGTTCCTAGCTATTTAACCACTATTTGCTTTCCTAAAAGCTTCATTAAGTATTAAATTCTTAAACATTTTGTTAGCATCATTGTAAGGTTAATGGAATGCATGCTGCTTTACTTTTAAGCAAGTTGATTAAGTTAATTACTGCGGTGCTGGGTCTGAAAATAAGGACAGCCATTTGGATTTTGGACATAAAAAAACTAAAAGTGAAGAACTTTTGAGCCCCTCTTTAACCTTTGGTCAAAAAACACCATTATAATTTTGGCTTATTAAATAGAAACCATTTTTATTTTGTCAATTTATATAAAACAGTTCTTACTCTTAGACCGTCTAATGGTTTAGAAATATTTTATGTTTTAAAATCATATTCCAATATATATTTCATATGGATGATTGACACGTGTATAATTCTGATGACATTATATATTAATTCAATGGAATGAGAAATTAATTGAAATACCATCATGGAAAATGAAATCCCATGATCCCTTAATAGTTAGGCAATTATATGCTTTTTTTTAAAAAAAAATGCAAACTCATACAATGAAATGTTATTTTTTTATATATATGTTGTGTTTTGAAGGATGATATTTAAGTGTAAAAATATGTAGATTTATTAAAAGTATGATTAACTAACAATTAGACAACTAGAAATTAAAGAAAATGTATGAAATGAAAGAGATTGACAAATAACCGATGATCATATTCTTTGAGGACCCTACTTTAATTTATTAATATGTGAAAATACTAAGTATAATATCATTGTAAAATCTACCCATGCCTCATCAAAATTATTCTCCATTGTTAAATTTCAGATGAGATAATTTAGGTTCATCATTCATGTCTGAATAATGTCAGTCACAATCATCAATTCATCATCACCATTTATAGTGGATGATGAGCCCATATAGGGCTTGCAAGATTAAATGGATTCAAATATATTTTAAAGTAAATATCATAAATGAAAAGCTTTTTTCCCTCAAATATATAAATTGAAGTCAAATAGTAATAATACATTGTAACATCATAGAATTTCTTTTGTAGGGGAAATACATTGCACTGCATCTAAATTGCTGCTAACAAAATGCCCAATTTATAGGCTTTCCAAAATGTTTAGAAAGGAAAAAAAGGAACAAAGAAAAGAAAATAATGAAGGGAGGAGCCACTTGATTGAGACACAAAGTTGATGCCTACTTGCCAAGCACAAACACAATCAAATCTTTGTTCTGTACAGAACCCCTTTCACAAGTTTGACTCATATATAAATAAATAAATAAAAGATATACTAATAATACATTAAATTTGTGCAGGTCAATTATTAGACAAGTTCATGTATTATTACTTTTTGAAAAAATTATAAAAAATATCATATTTTTTTATGATATTTTTATTTAAGAAAAATGTTACAAGTACATAATAAATGTACATAGAGGTATACATAACACTCACATGGAGTGAGGTCCATTTAATTTTTTATTTTTTGTGAGACCCACTCAATGTGAAGGTTATGTACACCTCTATGTACATTATTACGTACCTATAGTATTACTCTTTATTTAAAAGTATGATGTTTTACTAAATTAAAAATACCGCTGAATGGAGAACTTTGATATTATGCAACGATTAAGATCATCCTCAATGTTACCGTATGGTATAACATTCATAAAATTAGTGGCTCTATGATACAAATGTATTATATTAGGTTGAATACCCACAATTTTTCATAATACGATTCCTTAATGAAGAAAATAATTAGTTTAAATTATAATATAGTTCAATCAAATATCACCTATTCATGAATATATATATATATTTCGGCCTAATAGTTAGACCGGTGTAAAACAATACAATGTGCCTATCCATGCAAAACTTACTACCTATGGCTGGTTGAACTCAAGCCCAATGTTATGGCCATTGGACTAAACTGAAGGCCCAACAACACTCTGTTGTGCATCAAAATTGATCTCATAAGAAAAACTACTTGGCCAGCCATATTCTCCTTGCAAATGAAAAAAGTAACTTCAAAACTCTTATCTCCCTCTATCCTTACCTCCTCATAGCATTTTTCTTTCTCGATTTTCGCCGAGCTCTTTGGCGCGCAAAACCTCGCCAGTAAATTCTCGATCATCCTCACAAGTTTCAGCTTTAAACTCTTTCGGTTTTTCCTTCACTTGAATTAATTACACGCCCTTTATCGATCTTTATCAAGTTCATGAACGCGCTTTAGCAATAAATCCCCTATCATTAGTCATTACCAATTCTAAGTATATTTGTTCAAGCATAAGAAAAAAAAAACAGCAAAGATATGATTTTTTTTCAAAGTTTTTGCTTTTGCTACTACACACATTAACAAAACCAACAAACAAACACAAGATCAATAGTCCCCAAAAACTTGATTAATTATCTCCAATCCATTATTCAATAGAACAAGTTCAAAGTTTTCAATTCACAATACACCTACCTTTATACTTCAAAATGAAAATCACTCCTTTTTCTCGTCATTATCATCCTTGATCTCCTCACTTCCCTTTGCAGCATTCTCGGACGAGCTCTCTTCAGTGGTTTGTTTGACAGTCCCAACCTTAACATATTTGGTCATGAATTTGAATTCCCAATCCTGAAGAGCCTCCAATTCGAATACACCGAGACCACTAAGATTGCCGTTTAAGTCTTTCTCTTCGAACGACATTTTTGCTAGGGCCCGACTAGCGTCCTTTCCAGCAAACAAAGCGTAAGGCCCACCGGGCCCGTAAAACATTCTGCAACAAATAGTTCAAATTAGAAACAATACAAATTCATACACACTTGACAATTTCATCAGCTTCAACCAAAAAATGGTTTCAGACTTCACCAAGATCATTCTTCATTGAATTCTATTTTCTCGTGTTTTTCTTGGATAATTGGATTCGAACAAATAACACCTTCTAATTCTAACTGCTTTTCATGCCTTGAATGAAATAATCCGGGGAAAAGAAAATAAGGGAAAAGGAAACTAAACAGCCTTAAGTAAACATGGTGTAGAGAAAATACACTGCTTATTAAAGCCTGTTTACTTTTCCTCCCTTAACAAGAAAAACATAAACCCAAATTCAAGAACAATACCATTAACATAAACTCAAATTCAAGAACAATACCATTAACATAAACCTAAATTCAAGAACAATACCATTCAAGAATCAATTATAAGTGGACAGAAAGTTCCAAACTTCATATAACCGGAATCTACACTCGGTTAGGCTTACAAACTTTCTTAGCGAAAATGCACACTTTCACATTCGAATGTCATACTTTATAAAACAACTTGAACAGAACTACAATAATTCACACCGTACAAGTATATACACATTTGTTCAAAAATTCTAGAATTTGTGAAACATATTCATAACAAGAAACCAACTACCATATCTCAATATGAACCCAATAGAACTCAATTACATAGATACTCGAAAAAAAAAAAGGGAAAACGAAAAAGGAGAACATTATTCAAGAAAACACACACAAAGAAAAACAGAGATTTTGGTAAAAATGGCAACTTTATTACCTGCTCTGTGTGACATCATAAATCTGGCCCTTGATGGCCATGAGCAAGGGCTTCTTAGGATCCGACCCGTCGTACTGCTTCAGCTCCACATCAGTAATCTCACCCACCTGAACCGGCGGAGCCAGCGGTTCCGCCGTATCCTCGAACCCGCCGTGGCCGCCGTGGCCCTGGTCGTCATCGGAGGACAAAGAGCCAAAGTAAAGAAGGGCCAGGCAGTAGATGGCGAGGCCCACGGCGACCGCCGTGAAGACGGTGGCCGGAGATAGCCCAGTGTACGCTGTGAATGATTCACTGAAGGATTCCCAAATTTCAAGGGCCATATTTTTACTTTAATTTTCCTTTTTTTCTTTAGTGGGCTTTTTGTATGGGTGCAGATAGTGGCAAAAAGTATGCTTTTGGGCTTTTTAAACTATTTTGGAATTTTGATTACAAAGTATATATATTCAAATAAAACTTTAAATATTATTTTTTTTATGAACAACAATAATTAAATATTTTAATATCTATATTAATATCTCCACTTAAAGTTTATGTGGTTTCATGTTATTCATTCTAGAATGAATGTGAATAGGAAAATTGCCAAATCTTATTGTCCACATAATAAACTGTACTTTTTTCTTTTATTATTATTATTATTATTATGTGTTAGGCCTATGTTTTGGGGAAACTCGTGGACCTCGTGGAACAAAAATAATGTAATGGCTACAATATAAAACATGCATGATGAAAAACAATAATAAATTCTTTGTGAGCCGGTCTACTTATCATTTTTATATGAAACAATAGAATATTATAAAAAATACTGAAACAACACAAACACATAAAAACGACAAAATAGAATAAACCTTCATTTTTTACCGTCTAACAGAACATTGTTACCACCACGACAAGTCATTGAGCCGAAGACAACCATTTGACAAGTACTTCACAATCAGTTCCAACGGACAAACAAGCATACAAATTGGTCGTTCACCCCAACATGAAAAAGGACAACAAATCACGTTTCAGTTCATAGTTTTGAAAATACCAAACCGTTGGATGGCTAAATGCTAGACGGGTCCAAGAAATCGAACTAGAACTGATCCCAACTCAAAGGAAAAAAGGTGAAGGGGAATCGACACAACCACCAGAGTTGGTCTAATAGTTAAATGGGTTAATTTGTTACATTTTTATGTAAAAATGAAAATATATGTTATGAAATGTGAAACATTTTGTTTATGTTGTTTTAAAAGTATGTCACTTCCAAAGTATCAAAACTTACTAAAAATATGATTACCTAAACGTTAAGACTGCTTGTATATATTTGGATGTTATGTAGTTCAAATTCAATACAAATCATACAAATTGTGTAAAAATAATAATACTTTTCACACTATAATTTTTACAATGGCAACCATTGTAGTAAGGCTGCTATTAGATATGACTAACGGTTAACCAATTAAATTTCTTCAATAATTATATACATTTTTAAATTGAAATGTCATAATTTAGAACATAACATAAATAAAAGTATAATAATTTATAAAACAACTATTTATTTTATTATAATATATAGTAGATCGATCCGACTAAGTGTTAGTTCGACTTACACAATAATTTGTCTTAAGACTAAATACCATGGCAGTCCTTCCACTGATTTATAT